GTGAGGTTAGGTTAGGGTGATAGTTAGGTTAGCTCAAATATCTTGCATCAGGAGAATATAATGTGCGAGGAGATTAAGGTTAGGAAAATTTTTTAGTGAGGTTAGGTTAGGGTGATAGTTAGGTTAGCTCAAAAATCTTGTATCAGGAGAATATAATGTGCGAGGAGATTAAGGTTAGGAAAAATTTTTTGTGAGGTTAGGTTAGGGTGATAGTTAGGTTAGCTCAAAAATCTTGTATCAGGAGAATATAATGTGCGAGGAGATTGAAAGTTAAAATAAAATTTTAGTGAGGTTAGGGTAGGGTGGTAGTTAGGTTAGCTCAAAAATCTGGTATCAGGAGAATAGGATGTGCGAGGAGATTGAAAGTTAAAATAAAATTTTAGTGAGGTTAGGTTAGGGTGGTAGTTTTAGGAGAATAGGATGTGCGAGGAGATTGAAAGTTAAAATAAAATTTTAGTGAGGTTAGGTTAGGGTGGTAGTTAGGTTAGCTCAAAAATCTGGTATCAGGAGAATATCATGTGCGAGGAGATTGAAAGTTAAAATAAAATTTTAGTGAGGTTAGGTTAGGGTGGTAGTTAGGTTAGCTCAAAAATCTGGTATCAGGAGAATATCATGTGCGAGGAGATTTAGAATCCCCCCCCCCGTATAGATTTTGTTTCTTCAAGGTCTCTTAGAGTCACTTAAAATGTGTAGGAGATCCTTTAAAGTTTCTTAAAGGCTCATAAAACCTTTTTAAGGGCTTAAAAGCAATTCAAGGTTCGCCTTTTCAACATTCTCAAATAGTAGGAACCTGAAAGGCTCTAAATGTGCATTAAAAGTGCAAATAAACCCATGGAGAGTTTGAAAAGCCTTGAAAACTGTATAGAATATCCCCCCGTATAGATTTTGTTTCTTGAAGGTCTCTTACAGTCACTTAAAATGTGTAGGAGATCCTTTAAAGGTTCTTAAAGGGTCATAAAACCTTTTTAAGGGTTTAAAAGCAATTCAAGGTTCGCCTTTTCAACATTCTCAAATAGTAGGAACCTGAAAGGCTCTAAATGTGCATTAAAAGTGCAAATAAACCCTTGGAGAGTTTGAAAAGCTTTGAAAACTGTATGGAATAACCCCCCCC